AAAGCATAATCACATAGATTTTGCACTGCATTTGCAGCCGTGACCCCCTAATTACCAAAGCATAAAGTACTTACACTGTTACTGCAGCCATGGAGCCTAATCACAAAACATAATGGTGGAGCCTAATCCCCAGCATAAGGATCTTGCACTGCTGGACAAGAGGCCATCCTTGAATATCCTTGCAATAGTGAAACAACCTTACCCTTATTACACTACCACTACTGTTTACTCATTTCCTAACAACTATAGTAACTCGAATTCAACGATCATTTGTAATCAATATAAACCAGAAAATATACGTCCGATGCTTTCCTAATCTAAATTAACAATTCAATTGCCTAGATCAAGATTCCGCTAGCTATTCCTTATCTTATGCAGACAAGACCTGCATCTAACAAAATTATAACATAAAAAATTTAATAGGTTAAAATGACAAATTGAATATGTGATCCAATAAAATCATCTAATCTCACAATAATGAATCGACTTGTCACTTTGCTGACTTCATTGGTAATATCATTTAAATAATTAGAACTTGGTGCAAAGCCATCCACATGAACTACTAACGACAATCTTCATATTTGTGCAATCTAACCAAGCACAAATGAATCATAAAAAGGAAAATCGGAGCCAGCATAAAATAGAAAACGCAAATTGATAAGGTAGGTGGAGTTTGACTAAAACAAGTAGAAACGAGGTATGGCTGACACATGTAACAATTTAAAAGCCACGACAATAAATAAATAGTAAGGTCTTATGCTTAAATCAAGGAAATTTAACCACACTGTCGTAATAATCTATAGGATGGGTGACAGTATTTTAAGCCATACAAAATATCGATGTATAGTAAAAAAAGCCTCGTATAGAAACATGATATCATCAATTAGATGCCAGGAATCCGCGACTCTGCTATTAAACCATACATCCTGGTATATTGACTTTTTTTAAAAAAAAAATTCTATAATTTACTAGTTGTATCAACAACTTAAATATTGCATATACTACTATTGGTTCGTTGTAAAAAAAAAAAAGAAGTAATCTAAGAATTATCAAATTTTGCAAAAATGCGTTATTGGTTTATATGACTTACTCAACAACTTACGCCTGACTATTCTGATACTGTATCAATTTTCTAACAGTATCATTTCTCCAATAATCATTATCCCGACAATTATTTTGTTAGCAAACAGTAATTTTCACTGATATTTATTTATCCCAAATAATTCAATATGTTCTTAATATTTTATTTCTACAAAAAAAAAAAATAATAATAAAACATTAATCCAAATATTTTAATAAACCATTCATGAATATTTATTACTTAATTTTATTTCAGCGTGTGAATATAACGGATAAGGAATATTCATTAATAAAAATTATTAAAATAGGCTATTCATTGTTTAATTTGCTTTATTTGCACAGCAATAGATGACTACATTGAAATTAGATCTTGTTCTTTTCTCACCAGAAAGGCTTCAAATTCTAAAGCAGCGACTCTTCAAATTATTGTTAGTTAAGATAATCCCGGGCAAAAATTTATTAATCGTATTAGTATAACAGGATCGTTAGTATATATCAAACTGAGCGGATACATTTACCAATTTCTTGTACGTGTACCTTTTAGAAAATATTAATTTAGGTTAGAACTAGAAATATTGTTTTAAAAATATCATTTCATAGACGGGGGTTTTTTTTCGATAGTTAGACCATGATCTTGCAGGTGGCTTCGCCGCCCGTTTTAATTATTATGTGTAGAGGTTAATTGTATTTTCTTATTTAAAATAGTTTAATAAAATATAAAGTGTAACTTGATAGTAAAGATTCACAACTTGAATAATCTATTTCAAATACCTCAGTTTATAAATATTTATTTTTTACTTATGTATGACATAAGTGGAAATGGAATTTAAATGGATTTGGAATTTTCTAGTTAAATTATGGTTAGGGTGTACATATGATAAATCAACCCGAGAATGGTTTTTTTATATAAATTCTGAATCCACATAAATTCCGTTTCCACTTATAACATATACATTCACATATCAAAATTAAATTAAATTAATTCAAATTTCTTGATACCTAAATACCTTATCTATTTTAATTGGTGTAAATAAAGCAAAGTTTACCTACTGTAAGAAATTTTATTTCAATCAGTTTCGTCTATTATCAATTAAAGCCTAAAATGACAAATTTATAAAATTGATGAAACAAAAGGTGTGAAACTGACAAAAGCTAACAAAACCAATGTATTCAGAAATATGCACTAGGTTTACATGTTAATAAAACCGCAATAAACAGGGCTATAAATTTTTATCTCATGAGTTAAATTGTTTTATTTGTGTAAAATAAAATGAGGCTTATAGAACAGGATTCAAAAAAAGTAAAAATCGTCTATTTTTTCAGCCTCATTGTATAATACAAATCACATGTTTGCTTAGGTTTGGCCACATTTTATGGTCACGAAATTGATCAACAAATCCTTTCTAAAGAACTTTAACAATCTAAGATTATCAAATAATCAACCCGGAAAAAATCCGAAAAAAGATGAAAATTGCCGTAAGTTCATAATATAATATAAAAATTCATGTTGAAATCTCATATATGTTAATTATTGCATATTTTAGTATGATATATTATATTATTATTATTATTACACATGAACATGAGCATGCGGGTTGGTTTCATTGTGTGGCACGCACAGGCACGTTTTGCGGACATTGCGGCAAGGGGTGGCACGTTATATCACGTCATACGAAACAACACGTTCAGATGACGCGTATATGTATGTTGCGCACGTGTTGGCTCGTGATACGTGTTGGTTCGTTTCGCGGAGAGTGAAAGATCAATAAATGATTTTTTTTTAAAAAAGTGCAATACCTCATAATTTCACTGATAAAGCTGTTCTGAGTATCTTGGCAAAAAAGATTCCTTACAAAATTTTACTTCACATGCAGTTAGTTTGTTAGTATCATATTGATTACTAATGTTTTAGCATGTTTGTTATTTGTTATTGCGGTGGCGCGTGAATTTGCGTATCATTACCCGTAGCAAATCCCGTGCCGATTCGACTAGTAAACTGCTGCAAAACCCGTACCATTTACGGTCCAATTGGCACGGGCATACGGTTCCACACGGACCACCGAATCCGTACCAACTCGGACCATATACGTACAAATCCGGATCTTGACCCGTGCCTATCCAAAACCAACCCGAACCACTTTTCTTATAGGGATGTACAGTACATATGAACATGAACATGAAAAAAATTATAGTTCGCTAATAATAATAATAATAATAGTTAATGCGCTCTACTAATGAAAATTAATAGAATCCCATGTTGATGTTTGTTATTGCTTAAAAATACTAACATTTAAAAGCATCAGTCATTATGCAGGGCATGCAAAATATTGATTTGAATATACTGTACTATATATATTACATGCATTTCATTTAAATAAATGTAAAATTTCTGTAACATTTGTTTAATAAATGCTGTTTTATGATTAGCAGAAATCTAACATCGATATATTATTATTATTATTCTGCAATATAAGAGAAATTTTGGGCACCCCGGGAGGGGCTCTATTTTATGCTCTGAGAACGCCCATTCTTAAATTTCATAATTGGTTAAAATCCATGTACAGTATGTTATCATTGATCAATTAGAAAATCAAAGGAATTTCATATGCGAAGTTTTACTATATCACATACCAAATAGAGGCTACCTGTTGACCAGAAACATCCTCAGATATGTCTATGAGCAAATAAGATGCTGGCGGTCCACAATAACTTCATCAATGAAAATATTTTCAACCGTATCAAGCAATATCCTTTAAATTATAATTCACTGATGTTTAGTGCCTTGATGGAAAGTCCACCAAAATTTGGAACAAGCTTTTGGATAGACAGCATCGAAGGAGTATAAGTTATATGAAACTTTGGGACTAGCTGATGAATTATAGACCTGTAATAAGGCAAATGTATACGTACGTATTCCAATGCGTCTTGGAAAGTGTGAAGAGGACGAACTTTTAAAACTTTGATTTATGAAACGCAATTGGTCCGGATAGCGTGCGGTCAAGTTATTTTCAATTTTATTCTCATGTAGATCGAGGATAAGAAATTATCTTCAAATAATTCTCGTGTAAACTTGGATAAGAAACTTATCATCAGTGATAAATGGATTACTGTATATACTAGAATGATATGATAAGTTAGTTTATGGAAAAAACTTTAACAAGCCATTTCCCACTAACTTAACGGTAAAGCTACCCATAACTAAATTTGTAAAGCTATGAAGCGTTAAAATTGCTAAGAATTTTTTTTTTTTTATGGAAATCAAAAAAAAATTATTTTAATATAACCATCAATATTATCGAACTGGCAATTTGTAAATTTTTTTTAAAGAATTAAATCAAGTACTTCAAAAATAGTGATCCACTTTCAAACTTGTTTTATAATTTTTCTTTTTTTTTTTATTTATTACAGGTTCTAACAATCATTGGATTGATAAGAGCTACGGCTGAGTATAAAAATATGGGAGATTTTTGGCATCGTTAAAATTTGAGATATCTAAGATTAATTGCCGTATTTAGATAAAATAAAATCAAACAACTTAATTTAGTACCAAAATTATGTTTTTTTAAAAAATCAAAGTGATAGAAATATACTAGGATAATTGTCAAATTAAATTTAATGACAGAAGTACTAAAATAATATTCGTATAAACACGTATTTATTTTATTATTCCAATATGCCAACCAATATCAAAAAATATAATTGATTAAACCATGTTAAACACGATAATAAAATATATATAATAGAAATATTTAATAATTTATTGAATATACTATATAAATTAAAAGATAAAAAGGAAAATGATAATAAAAATAAAAAAAAGTAAAATGATAATAAAAATAAAAAAAAATAAAAATAAAAAAAAAGTAAAATGATAATAAAAATAAAAAAAAAGTAAAAATTAATACTGCTATATAGCTTTTTCATATCATTATTTCACTCCCTTCTTCGATTGTAATATCTTGTTCAAGTTCTTTATAGTTTCTATAAAGAGTAATGTATTTTTCACGGGTCTCTTTCAATAATTTTAAGTAACTTGTATCAAGATAAAATTTCTTTAATAAATCTTCCAACATAATCAAACGATTTCCTAATACATTTATTTTGTCTTCAATGGATGATGCATCAGAGATCAACTCAAGTGGATCATCAACAAATAGAGTTCTACCATTTTTGCAAATAAATTGTTTTGCGAGATGTCTTTTGTAATTTCGGCGAAATGGCCACCAGCATGGACAAGTTTGACAGTAGCCCCTTTTTTATTGAATTCGGAATAATAAGTATAGTATTATTTTCTAATATAACAGATGAATTGTAATATATAAATACCAAGGAGAGTATTTTGGCGATCCAAATAATAAAATATAGAATGCTGTCATAAAATAATAAAAGCCACCAATACTAGCGAGAAACGTAAAAACTAAATAATAATTAGAAAAGGTCTTGGTTAAAACAATATACTTGATTACAGGGGTGCTGAATAATTGATTGTAGCTAAATCTTATTATTATGTGAATAATAATAATAATAGATAATTGATTAAAATTATCAAAAAATAATTGGTTTCAGTTAATAACTCAATTTTTATAAAGACGTCTTTAGCATGTGATCATAATAGTGCCCAACTTTAAATATATTTTGCAGAAAATTTTTGATGAAAATTTGAATACGAAATTTATGATGTGATTGAAATCATTTCAAGAACCATTTTCAATTGATTAGAATAATGCTCATTTATTATAATCAATCAAAATAAACATTGCAACTGATAGTTGAGATATCCTTATTGATTCTTATTTGTTAAATGGCATTGCTAATATTTACAACCTTCATCGTATCGTAAGTTGAACACAAAAAAAAACAATTACTTAAAATCCACTAGTTTTAGATATATGAATAAATATATAATCCTTACCATTATTTTGAACTGCTTCATAACATATATTTTGATTCTTTGGCTTCATTAGTAAAATGGTATAAGATGAGTTCGGAATTGGTGATATATAAACAATTTCAACATCAATATCTGCTTCGGGTGGACCTGTAAAAAAATTAAACCTTGAAGCATATATATTTTTAAATATTAAAGAATATCTGAGCCAAATTAAATGGCCAGTAGATATAGGCTGGATAATTTGTGTTCTGATTTCCGTGTTTTGAAGGTATGTTTTTGTAAATGTAATTAATATATAATTTAAAAGCGAATTATTATTAGAAGATGCTATAGTTAATTTAGTTGTGCTAGATGATACTTTATCTGGGATTCCATCAAAACTTTGTTTCGAAATATTTGATTTAAACGACCAACCCAATTCATCTCTGCTTTTTTGGTAATGATTACAACTTCCACTACACGAGACAATTTCAATAGGGTTATTTTGAACATCATTTTTACTATTATAGAAAAAAATCATGAGGATCAATATTTAATATTATTTCAGGTTCAAGATCAAGACCTATGTATTAAAATAAGTAATATTAACAATATTATTTTAAAAAAAATTTCAGGCATGTTAAAATCTTCAAAACTTCTTACTTTTAGGTTGTATGGAGAAATCTAATAATAGATTATCATTTAAAAACATTGCGTTTAGGTTTTCATTTATTCGTAAATAAAGTATAATAAAGTTACCTGGAAATATTATATTTTCCTTCTTACAAATGGTATAAATATCTGGTTGGTACACGTAAGAATCCAAAGTATTGCAAAAATAAACGATAAATGTGACTGAGGCAATAAAAAAACATATCCTTTTCAGCAATGTAAAACAATATGGCTCTGCTTGTATATCCATTTCGAATAAAAAATTATTATATAGGAAATGAGAAAAACTACGAACATTTTAATTATGCCAATCATAGTTTAATATGTTAATACCAGGAACAGAGTGACACGTATGGCATTTCATTCTTAGTTTGGCGTGACTGCGTTGCACAGCTACTTAATAGTTTGGTGATATATTACGTTTTCTCTATATCCCTATAAAAAAAGTTAATCCGTGTTACGGTGTACCGTAGGCACACAAAGTGACTTGTTTTATATTCCATGATTTTTCCGTAAATATGGAGATTATTCGGATTGTCTAGATTTTGTTGACCATGTTGCAGATTCACAAAAAATATGGAAGAAATAAGGAAATATTCGTATAAAATTTTTTATAGGGTATAAAGAGTGGGTGTAACTAGCGATGAGCGAATGCAAAGTTTTTTTTGGTCTTGCATTATCATTAAGAGATTATCGATTGAAAACATAATAAATCACTAAATTTATATAGCGGGTGTGTCTACAAAATTATCTTGCCATTGAAATAAAGGCTATAAAGTGATTGTTGGTGAAATTATGCACCTCATAATGTAGCATTGTAGAACCGTTGATACGTCACAAAATCGGTACACAATTGATGAAAAAATTTTTTATATTATTTTACAATACTTTTTTGGAAGGCTCGCTTGACTTATCTTTTCTATGAATATTGAAAATG